GCGTTTACTATTCTAGCAAGTATTATCGAGTAAGTACTATTAGCGCGAGTGATATTCGAAGGCGTCTGACACCAGTATTGTTGAACGGCGTTAATATAGTTGTATCTGTGATTACAAAGTCTCTACTTCAACGAGCATTACGAAAGTGACAACAAGTATTTGTTGACATCACAAAAGTAGGAATGAGGATTCGATGACACACATATATATATATATATATATATATATATATATATATATATATATATATATATATATCACTTTTTCGATTGAGGAACTCTCTTTCGGTTTGATGCTTCGCAGTCAAGTTTGCTCTTCAAAAATTTAAATTCAAGGTCAATCGTTATATTCTGTATTTTTATTCTTGTTCTTTTATTGCTCTCTCTCTCCCCTTAATAATGATTTTCTTCTGTTATTCTCTAAAACTCAGTGATCGCTTGTGTCTTAGTGGCTTTATTGCCTTGCTATCTATCTATCTATCTTAGATTACTTTGAAATGATTTTTAAAAAAATGAGGAACAGTAGAGGAGAAGAGAAAATAAAAATCAAAAAACCTTAAAGATAAATAAATCTGATTCCTATCACCTTCGATTTTAGATTTGGCCCAGGGTCAAAATGGACGTGGAACAACGCTAACTTGTTCAATTCCTTCGGTAACATCCCATTTTGAGATGCTTCAGGCAACAAGACTAATCCAGACTCCCCTCCATTAACTGCAATCAAGATGGAGTTGCATGGGCGGGAAAAAGCTCCCTGGAACTGAAGTATAATTTATTTCTACTTTGGAACTAAAAATGCCAGGATTAGAGGTGATCTAAAACTTCGCTCGTTTTGTTAAAATCCACAAGTATAGAGCTCCGATGAGACTCAAACACGATATTCAATATTAATTTTCAACAACGCAAACTAGCGTTCTAACCATTAAACCACGTCGGGGAACCCTCTTGTTATTTATTAAGATTATCTCACTTTATGACCAGACAGCAAGTATGTGATTCCTAGTAAGGATCGAACCCATTAGTCAGATTAACTCGCTACCAGGACATTGTAAGGCGCCCAAGTAAGATGATTTTAAAAGCAAGGAGCTTGATGGAACGGAATATATAATAATAATCAATACAGAAGCTATCAGTAAAATGATAGAAAAAAAATCGATTAACGAATTCTCTTGACAAGAAAGATTTGTAGCTGCAACTCTGACCTCAACAGAAATATATTCAGATGATTGGCATTTAAATAATGTAATGTAAATGAAATCGAGAAAGAAGGTAGAGCAATTCAATATCGAATCGCAGTTATCTCTTCTTATTGAACATTGTCATATCTATTCAGGGCGTTGGTGATTATGGCTCTCCATATATTTCAGTTATTATCTATGAACGGCTATAACTTCTTGAAAAAGACAGCAAGGGCCTTCACTGTGCTTAGTTTATCAAGATATCACTTTCTCCTCGACTTGCTGCCACATAAGCTAGAGAGACCAATCTACTCTACGATTTAATCGATGGTTGGAGAAGAGATCATAAGGACTGTGAAATTTTCAATCTCACTAAGTGCCCTTTATTTATAGCCTTGTATCTGACAAGTCAAACCTTAATAAATAATCACGGTGGCGTCTTGGGGTATAGCTGTGTCTAGCAAGCTAATCTCGCAAAAGCCTGCGAGATGTGTTCGATATTTATGGTTTCTCTGCAAACATATCCTTGTACAAGACTTAACTAAACTTAGCAGATAGATAGATAGATAGATAGATAGATAGATAACACCAGGATATAGATAGATAAAACCAGGATATAGATAGATAAAACCAGAAGGAGATAGATAGATAGATAGATAGATAGATAGATAGATAGATAGATAGATAGATAGATAGATAGATAGATAGATAGATAGATAGATAGATAGATAGATAGATAGATAGATAGATAGATATGCTTCTCTGGGGAATAGTTGTTATATCGCGTTCTCTTCCAGGAAACCATATTAATACCGTATGTTCCTTTCTCACTGTGTTTGCGCTGTATTTGTGGCCTTGTGTCAGAATAAGTCTTGTGAGTAAGCATAATCGTTATGTCATAGAGAAATATTGGTTAGATGAGTCAGCTCGCCTCGTGAAGCACTATACCAAATACTATTCATTTTGAGCACGTAGCACTTGTCGCTTTGTGTCAAGCTGAAGGCGGTTTAGGATGGCTAGATATCATTGTCTCCTATCAAGCTATATTGTGTATAACTGAAGATTTTCGGTGTGGAGGGTACATAATAGATTTTAATTATAATAGCGCCAGCATCATCAGATCTAGATTCTGGTATGGACTTCATGCATGGCGCCAAACATGTTCAGAAATGTCTAAATTACAACTAAATTCTAAATTTACCCTTTCATTTTTAACGGCTTTCAATGTTATACCTTATATATCTACAAACGTTTTCTCAGATCTAATGATTAAGAGTTACTTCAAGCAAATGAATCCCGTACTTTTAAGGAAGGCTATCCTCAATCAAATCTCATAGACTGACTTTCCAGTAACAAAGACAATGACCTGTACCAAATAGCAAATGCGATATTACTTGAAGACCTCCAACAGTAGCAACAGCTGAAATATAAAGCGGCTGTAACGGTACAAGAACCTGCTTCTGGAAAAAAGAAGGGGTTTTCTTGACGCACGTGACAGCTGTCGGTCGGTAGACCCTGTGCATTAGCATATCATGGCAAATAAGCTGTAAGTCACAAAACTATAACGTTGTGCTCGGATGTCGTAGCGAGAACGGTCGATAAAAAATAAAAGCTTTTCCTCATACGCTTGCGGGCAGTTCAGTTTTTCAGTTCATAGCTAAATCAGCACCTGTCCGTCGTCGGACTAATCCACAAATGTTACCGAAAGGTACATATGTTACTAATCCGTTACTGGCAGAAGAAATACGATGCCAGCAACCAATGTTACCAGAACTGCGACTATTCCTCCAAGCTTCTTTGCTAGATATCTACAATTTGTATACATTTCAATTATTTTTAATACATCCTTGGCAGGTGTCGAGGTTGTGAAACAAAGGCAGTATTTTCGCAAAACATTGCCGGCGACGCTGCTTCCCCTGACCTGAACCCCACTATTCGTCAAGAAGAAACGCAACTTTCTCGACATTCTTTGTTACCGGGGCCGTTACCCCAGAAAATCCTAGAGCCGTTGTCATCTCAAATACAGAGGTCTCTGTTGAAACTTGACTAATGCATGGAATAATAATGCAACACAAAAGGTACTTAGAACAAAATGTATTGAAACAAGAAAGTGTACACAATATTTATATATAGTCTTTTGTATATTCCTGGTAAGACCGTTCCAGGAGAATGTGTTGACTGAGTCGCAGTCGGGCAGAGTCTCTGGTTGAATCTCTTGATTCCTCTCACTCTCTTCCCGGTACCAACCATATTTATATGGTCGGTACTCCACTATGCAAATTAGGTGGATCCTACCACAACAGTCTCCAAAGTTTTGACTCTCACAATCATGTTCCGTGTTAAGTAATGTTAAAGCTTGTAAGATTTCTATGGTTGCCACAGCTTCACTGCCACCAACTAAACCATCCTTTTACACGTCACATCCGACTGAGTCTAATGGTAATTGTAATATTAGCCGTTTCCTTATAAGGAAACATTTGGGATTCATTGGCTGAGCAGCCAGCAATTTATAACATCTTTCTCTTAAAACTATTTTTCAGGACAATTGATGTTATCTCTCTTTCCGGTTTTTATTTTTATTTATTTATTTATTTTTGTGGGGTAGTACATTGTTTATGGTATTTGGTTCCATTAATTTTGCTTCCAGATTTCGGAAGATATGAATTAACTATTCTTTATTTTAGTTTCTTTAGTATTCTCTCTTCCATTTTTGTCCTTTTCTTTTTTGTCTCAACCTTTTCAACTCAAGGTTATTGTTACGTGTATGTATCCTTTTTTTACTTCTAGGTATTCTTGGAATGGTCTCACCTGCTTCATCTGTGTCGATATGATGACATTATTTGAATGTTCTATGGTGTTTTAGTCAAGAATTACTAACATCAATTTGGACTCTAGTTTACAACTAAATTCTAAAATTACCCTTTCATTTTTAAAAAAAAAAAAAATTAAAAATGAAATGTCAATCGCTATCTACTGTCCTCCTGATTACTCTTTCACCTTCCTGCTCAATAATAATGTTTCTGTTCCTAATTCTTCCAGACAATGGAACCCCTTGTGTCATAGTTGTTTTACTGTTTTACTTGGAGGTGATATTGATTTTTTTTAAATATATTAATTCAAATATTTTCTCAAAAAGTTATTATATTTACGGATTCATATTTATCAGTTGAAGAACATTCGAAGCTAGAAGACTGATTAAAAGCAAAAAATAAATGAAGAATTTATGATTAAGGACTTACCATTCGACTTGTCTAACCGTAACACCGTAGAATATTGATTGACAAGTTCATCACTTTGACTATTAGAAGTGTCGTGAAATCGATTCTCAGAAGACGTTTTTCATTTCTCGGCGTATTCCAGACTGATCTAATTCAGTCAATAATTATCTATCGATCTATCGATTTCAGTCTGTACATATGCGTTTATCTTTACTGGTCAGCATGTTCAGTATTAATTTACCTTTCAATCTATCTAGCTTGGACTGTACCTATTAATCGATTTCAAACTTTTTCTATACACACACACACAAACACACACACACACACAGAAAAACACACACACACAAACACACACAAACACACACACACAAACACACACACACAGAGAAATGAACGTCGGACGATTCCTGAAGAAATTATCTCCTTTTCTGAGGGGGTTTATTCGTAATTTGGAAAAGTCGATCCTTAAAATTAATTGATTTTAATGTTTGCCTTAAAGAACATTTACTGCCTACATGCATAGAAGGAATATATATATATATATATATATATATATATATATATATATATATATATATATGGAGATACACCTGTCACCAAGGTATAACTTGTGTTCACTTTTATATTTATATAGATATATGTGCATATAAATATATATATATGTAAAATATATATATATATATATATATATAAATATATATATATATATATATACATATATATATTATATAGACATATATATATTTATATATGTATATATATATTTTTTTACATATATATATATTTATATGCACATATATCTATATTTATATGTATATATATTGATATGTATATATATATATATATATATATATATATATATATATATATATTATAATAAAAAGAAAGAACAGTAAGATATATAATCCAGTGTTCTTATTGATATTTTTATTTTTAAAAAATAGTGCTCAATGTCAATTTACAGATCATAAATATTATAAATTAACTGATTTAATATAAACACCAATAGAACACTTCAGTAAAATGGAAATTAATAAGAAAAGCGAGAATGTGTAGGTTATTAAATGACCCATGTCTTTTGGGCATACATGAGAAACTATATATTACTAAGTTTATAAAAAATAAAAATTCACTGAATCAAAGAAATGAAATAGCTATTCTTTGCCAACATTGTCAAAAAATTTTCCTTAAATAATATTTAAAAATAAATAAAATAAAAAAATAAATAAAATAAAAAATAAATAAAATGGATCTAGTAATATACTTACTTATATTTGATATATAATAATAATTTTTAAATAATTTAAGTAATTCTATTACATTTACTTGATTTAAAAAGAAATATAATGTATTAGAAATTAAGAGTAAAAACAAATTTTTTAAATTGTAGTTCAAGATAACGTAGTCAATCCCAAACACTCATTTTAGAAAGAATCTTTACGTATACAAGTCGGAATTTAACGGAAAAAATGCCGAAAAACATTTTGTCGTTGATAAAAAAAAATAAAAATTAAAAAATAAAACAGACGACATTCTTTGAACGGATGTCAAAATTCGTTGAAAAATACACCCCTACCCTCTCTAAACTTAACCTCTTTTTCGAACGTAACTCATAATGGATACAACAATAGTATATATATATATATATATATATATATATATATATATATATATATATATATGTCCATGCCTTATGAGCATAATTATAACAATTTATCTGCAACCACTTCCCGCTTATGGGGCCTCATTTTTTCTTTTTGTAATAGATCCGGGTTTGTTTGTTTGTTGTTTTTTTTTTGCGGGGCGGGGTATTCACCAGTGACAATATTATCCATAAATGTATCGTGCAAAGACCAATAAAGACAAATCATAAATGTTTCTTTCCGTAACTTCATGCAGAAACCAATTTCCTACCTCCTGAATGCTTAATGCAGCTCATAAACAGCACGATTCATTTGAGTGACTTTACATATTCAGTAAACTTGAAAGACGCCTTTAAGATATCCCTAAACTTGCAAAAAGTCAGAACTGGGAACATTTGCTTCAGTCTTATAAGCATATACACAAGCAAATCAAAATACAAATATATTTTTATCACTTTAAACATTATTTTTTTTAGATATTTATATTTGAGTAGACACTCTGTTTATCAAACAGTATGTTTATATCTTTCGTCTACCGGTCAGAATATTGGGGAAATCTTATTAAAGAAGACTCTGCACTATCCAGCAGGACTCGAACCTGGGCCACTCGAGATCTGACTTAATTCAAACAAATCGGCCACGGAGTAGCCTGGCTGATCAAACAACGGCTGAAACGAACCTTTAAGTGAAATCCTTCTCTTATTAAATTCCTCGAAATTTTCATATCTGCACTATATATATATATATATATATATATATATATATAGAGAGAGAGAGAGAGAGAGAGAGAAGATATATATATATATATATATATATAGAGAGAGAGAGAGAGAAAAAATATATATATATATATATATAGAGAGAGAGAGAGACAGACAGACAGACAGACAGAGAGGAGGGAAAGACGAAATAAAGAGAGAGGAAGAAAGGGAGACAGAATATATATATATATATATATATATATATATATATAAAGAGAGAGAGAGAGATATATATATATTAAGAGAGAGAATATATATATATATATATATATACAGAGAGAGACAGACAGACAGACAGACAGACAGACAGAGACAGAGAAACTGAAAGAGAAGAGGGAGAGAAATAAGGAAAGAGAAGAGACAGAGAGGGAAAAAGAAGAGACAAGGAGAAAAAGAGAAGTAGAAGAGATAGAGGGAGAAAAAAGAAAGGGGAAGAGATATAGAGAAAAGAAGGAAATATAAGAGATAGTGAGAGAAAGGTAAGAAAATATAGAGAGAGAAAGGGATGGAGAAGAGAGAGAGAGAGATATTAGAAAAGGAAAAAGAAGAGAGATAGATGGATAAAGAATATAATCGAGAGGGAATAAGAAAATGGAAGAGAGAGGAAGAAAAGGAAAGAGAAGAAAAAGAAAGGGGAAGAGAAGAGATAAAGAAATTGAAAGAAAATGGGTAGAGATGAAGACAAACTCTGAGACAACCATCAATTTAATTATAAAAATTAAAAATCGATTTATTCCGATCTAAAAATCGGTTTATTCTGAAATGGCAAGTTCTTTTTTTTTTTATATCCTAAAGAAAGATTTTTCCACTTTATCTATTTCTGACAATACGGAAAGATTCTGGTAGCTTCAAGGAAATGAGCGGCATGATTTGGAAATTTTCTCAGTAAATGCAATCAATATTCAGTAGTTTGACATTTACCGACGCACATTAAGATAAGCTCAAAGAAGAGAACAAACACCGCCATAATAGCTACTTTGAAAATGATGAAATTCGAATTCAACAAATTATCATTAACGAGGATGAAAATGAAGGCAGTATTAAACGAATAAGCGTTCAGATACCGAGTTCGATTCATCTGTCGGAGAGTGCATTGCTGTGTGAAAAAAATACTTTTAGAGGATTAATATATATATATATATATATATATATAGTGAACATTGAAGTCAACACTTAGAGGTTGTTTCATGCTAGACGCAATCGTGGCCTGACGATTACGTCTAGCATGAAACAGCCTGTCGCCTCTAAATGTTGACTTCAATATTCACTTTTATATTTACACACACTCTATCTCTGATATTGAGCACTTTATCCCATAAATATAGCACACCTTAAGACTATTTCTTCATTTATATATACGTCCTTTTTATAGATACAAATATTTAAGTAAATGATCTGTTTATAATAAACGGTATAAACGATATTTACCGGCCTGAATGTCCGAGAAATGTTCATAGAAAATATGTGTCCTCCGACAAGAATCGAACCTGTATCCTATAAGGAACCGTCATATATCCTGACGTGCTTTACCGATTCAGCCACAGAGGAGCGTTTCGGTTAGCAAGGTCGTTAAATGTCGTTAATGTTGTTTATTATAAACAGAGTATTTATTTGTATCTATAAAAGAACGTATAAACTTAAAATGTCTTAAAATAATTGTCGGACTTTATCCATTTTATAATGTGATATATATATATATATATATATATATATATATATATATATATATATATATATATATATATATATTATAAAACGCAGATTGTGTGTGTGGGTCTGTACGTTTATATATTGGATCGGATTTCCTACATTTTTCAACAGATTTCAACTAAACTTCACAGGACTGCGTAAAATTACCCTGCGGTGGTTCTGACAGCGCCAAAAATTGGAAAAACACAATTGTTTTTGCACGAAATCAATTTGAAAACACGATTAAATCGCCAGAATGAAAGGGGGACAACTCATATCGAGTTATACTTATAAAACCCAGGTTGTTTGTTTGTGTGTGTGTGTGTGTGTGTGTGTGTGTGTGTGTGTGTGTGTGTTCGTTTATATATAGGATCGGATTTCCTACATTTGTCAACCGATTTCAGCAAAACTTCACATTTTTTTGGTAGGTAATGTTTCTTATTGTCTTGCACACTTTTTTCTTTATTTTTACATTCAGAATGCTTTAAAAATTTAATTTACAAGACAATTGTTTATAATAAAATTCTATTCAATCGGTAGACTCATAACGATTGAAAACAATGTTTTTGTTTGAGTTTGGGTTTGACCAATTCGTTAAAAAAAAAAAACTAATTAAGACATGCATGTCCGTCAACCTTAAACAATAATCTTTGTCAATTTTATTTTTCAGTCGTTATGATGGTCGATACTTGATCTATCTCTTACTGTTACATCCCCGGCCAACGCCGGGCTCTACTGCTAGTATATATATATATATATATATATATATATATATATATATATATATTTAAGAAATGGACAAAGTCCGACAATTTATTTATTAAAGACATTTTTATGTTTAACGTTCTTTTTTATAGATACAAGTATTTAAGTAAATGCTCTGTTTATAATAAACAGTATTAAATAACATTTACCGCCTGAATGTCCGAGAAATTCTCATAGAAAATATTCGTCCTTTGACAGGATTCGAACCTGCATCCTATACGGAACCGTCATTTACGCTGACGTGCCTAACCTTTCGGCCACAAAGGAGCGTTTTGTTGTTATGAGTTGCCTACCGAACGCTCCTATCGCTAAACCTGACCTTGAAAACTACTAAAGAAATAGTTGTGAAAACTTCTAAGTAATTATAGCTACTCCTGTTCGAAAGACCGGGCAGGTGTGTGAACCTGGCGATAAGCGGGCGTCCTAGGCGTTTTATTTGTTACTTTCTGATTCTAAGTACAGTCTTGCTTGTTTCCATTTTCGTTACACACAAGTTCAGTCCACGTTATTTTCCAGCATCCTTCTTATTGTTGAAATGAGGGAAACATTCATTTCTAGACTTATCATTCTTTTTCCATTTTATATCCAAATGAAGCGTGATCTCTAAACCATAAGGACAGAAGACAGTATTAGAATTTTTCTAAGCCTATATTTGAACCGGAAGTTCAGTAGTCATCGAAACAGTTGTATTATTAATATGGCTACGCCCGAATCAAAAGTATTATAACGTATTTTTTTTAAGTAATGTTGGTTTCTGTTTATTTTTTTGTCTTTATGTGCTATTCAAAAATGTAAATCTATTCGACATTTTTTCCGCGCTTATATTTTCTTTCTATTTCTTTTCTTATTTATTGGTATAGAATGAGAATTCATGCCTCTTGCTGAGTGATTTCTTTGTTCCAAGGTCACGCTCTTTACATTATAGCACGGATAGTGTATCGATCGAGAAAGTTATGATTAAATGCAACAATAAGATTAAGAAAATAGCCGTCGACCATCCAGCAGGGTCGATTTACGTATCCGAAAGAGACGCTGAAAAGTTCTCAGCCTGACCTAGTATTATCGATTATCTGAACAAATTATCAAATACCAGACTGCCTAGAACGGTAAACTCTATACCCGATATAGAGTAACAATGAAAACATGAGGAAAAATTAACAACGCCAGAGACAAAACTTCCTTGAAAATGGCTAAAAAAAAAAGTGCCCGTAAGCGCTTGAGCCTATAAAAGTTATGTACAATTTTATATTCCTAACTGCTGCAAAACGAAAAAAATATTAGGATACTGGAAAAACTTGAATGAATCTTCCTTGACGTCCGTATTGAATGACACACACACACGCACGCACACACACACACACACACACACACACACATATATATATATATATATATATATATATATATATATATATAAAATCCTTCATGGGGTACCTCGAGGCGGTGTAATGACTCGCTAGAACAATTACGACTGAGTAGTGAGTTCGATCTTCACTGGGTGCCCCCTAATTTCGGCCTTGTGCCACATCTAAGCCACGCTTGGAAAATCACTTTTTTTAATCTTTCATTTAATCATGTTTCATTAAAGACGACAGACAAGGTACTACGATGAAGTTTTTTAATTAATTTTTCTTGTGTTCGAACAAGTGTTATTTTTTTTTTTTGGGGGGACACAGAGTGTGTAGAAACTCTCCAAATGTTCTATATTTCCCAGCGCCTTCGGCTATACTTTTAGCCATTATCAAGGATGATTTTATCTTTGCTTTTTAATTGGGTAGTATGGGTTCTGTGTATGTTTTTAAAGTTATGGAGATGTTTTATTTTCTAACACAGCACGTTGTGGCCGTTTTCGTAGTTAATATTATTAAGTGTTAGCTTTTTCGTTTTTTGTTGTTAAGGCTTCCATTATTTTTAATCTTTTTTTTACATATGGATGAGGTCATTATATATGTATTTTCTACTGGTTTGTTTCGGATGGAGTCTGGTAAGTTTGTGTGTGTGTGTTTAAATGGGTTCTAATAGAGTTTTGGTCAGATAGGTGTAACGTGAGGCGTCTGGATAGGCATGTAGTAGTGTGACCTATGTAATTATTTATAAATTCGGTTTGATCAGGAACACAGTTCCTTAAGGGGCATTTGAATTCATAGATAATGTTCGTTCGTTGTAATTTTTCATTTTACTGGTGTGTTGTTATTTTTGAGGATAAGGTTAGCTGTTTTAAATTGTTTGTAGTAGATAATTTGATGTTTTTTATTGGCGTCAATTGGGGTAGTGTATTTCTTTATAATATTTCTAAGTGATGAGTCATCATGCTTGTAGTTAATGTGCATTTGGTTTTTGTAGAAAATATGTATGTAATTTTTGAATTTATGTTCACTATAAAAACTTGAGATCCTTTAATAAATAAATACAAAAAATATTGGAAATAAATTCTCATTAAGTATTCTTAAAATAAATTTAACAAATATTGCACAGTTGTTGATGATATATTACTATTAACTACGGATGTAAAAACTTGTCATAATTTAGGCTTTTCAACTGAAAATAAGCTATAAGAATTTTTGTTTTGAAAATACAATAGTTTTTACCTTTCTAAATTTTTTACAGTGAAAATTTTATTTTTTAATATCATTTGTTATTGTTTTCATTCCTTTAAATAATAATGTGAATAATTCATAAACTTTTAAATCTTTTAAAATTTTGTATTAATTTGCAGTGATCAATTGATAGTTATTAAATTATTTTTTGTGAGTACGGAAGACCATACACGACATTATCAGAAATAAGAGCGATTTCTATAGTAAATTAAAATTAATTGGTAATTTTCTAACATTTACTCAACAAGCTTCTTATAATGCCAAAATACCTAAAACTCAATAATATATTACAATGCTCAAAAATATTTTTTAGGATAGTTAAAAAGATTATATAAAAAAGGCATTTGTATTATATTCGTCACGTAATTTTATTTTAATTATCTCTTTTTTACTTAAATTTTCCAAACATCAGGCTGTCAGTAAACTATTCAACACATCAAACAAACAACTACCTCCGTTTTACAAAAGGCTTTTCTATGATATTTTAAACTAAAAGTAATATTTCTTTCAATTTGGATGAATTAAACTTTAAATATGCTAATTTCTTAGCTTCATGTCACGCACCTCTCGCCTGTGGAACTCCCTTCCCTATTCTAGTTTCCCTGAGAGCTATAATCTCCAGCTATTCAAATGTAATGTCAATCAACATC